AGACATGTTAATGAATGAGAACAGCAGGGAATTACGTTCATGTTGGTTACGTGACGTGACATGGTATCAGAGCATACCCAGGGTTAAGGTTTTTCAGGTTTTGGCTTCTCTCTTTTTGATTTTTTCGTGTTCTTCATCATGTCTGGTGCTTCCGATGAGTCCGTGTCGAGCCCACCGGAGCACGGGCTGTCGAACACGGCGCAAGTTCACGTGCAACGGCGCACGATATCTCCGTATGATATCACCGCCAATGATAATCCCGGTAATTTAATCTCTCATACGTTGTTGAAGGAACACAATTACAGTGATTGGTCTCGGGATATTCGTACGGCTTTACGATCGAGAAAGAAATTTGGGTTCGTTGATGGCTCGATTCCTAGACCCTCCCCGGATTCGGAGGACTTGGATGATTGGTGGACTATCAACTCCCTTATCGTGTCATGGATACGAAACACGATCGATGCTTCCCTTCGTCCGAACATCCCGAGTACCGAAGTTGCTGCAGATCTGTGGACTGAGCTGGCAACCCAATTTTCGGCATCCAATGGCGCTCGGATGCAGTCCCTAAAGTCTGAACTCGCTAGCTGTCGTCAACATGGTATGTCTGTGGCTACGTATTTCGGCAAGTTACGGAAGTTGTGGGATGAGATCGCATTATACGAAAAGATTCCGACGTGTTCGTGCGGCGGCTGTCAGTGTCGCCTATCCGACATCCTGTTTAAACAACGGGAAGAAGATAAAACTCATCAATTTTTGCTCGGACTTGATGATACTATCTTTGGTACGGTATCTTCGAGTCTGCTGTCGCAAACCCCTCTTCCGTCGCTAGCCAGTGTGTACTCCACAGTACAGCAGGAGGAATCCAAACGTGCGGCGATCAGGGCTAAGGAAGACCGTTCAGATGTCATGGCATTGTCTGTCCAACCGGATTTCCAAGCACGTGTTCGGTCTGATTCCAAGGATAAATCGTCTTCTTGCACGCACTGTGGCCGTGCTGGTCACTCCGTTGACTCCTGCTTTGAGATTCACGGGTTTCCAGATTGGTGGTCCGAGCGTGGCGGTCGTGGCAAGCATGCTCGAGGTCGTGGCGGTCGGAATTCAGGACGTGGACGTGGTCAATCTGTTCGTGCAAATGCTGCCCAAACTTCCGCTACAGGGCCTCAGCCGAAACAAAGTCATCTTGCCTCGAATCCGGGTAGTCTCGGCCTGTCTGGTATTACTCCTGATCAATGGAAGACGCTAGTTGAGCTTGTGAATGCGACGCGAGTCGGGCCTACAGACACTACTTCAGGTATACCTTTGTTTGGTTCATGGATTATTGATTCTGGGGCTGGAAATCACATGACGGGTCAGTTGCATTTGTTGTCCGATGTCTCTTCGATGCCTCCTTGTGATGTAGGTTTGCCAGACGGCAAGCATGTTTCGTCGGTTCAGACGGGAACCGTATGGTTGACAGATCAGTTCTC